GGCTTCCGTGGAGAGGCCTCCGTTCTAGAGAAGGTGTCGACCTTCACTGCAGCGTACTATCTTGAGAAGCTTCCCGGCATGCACAATCCAACCCCTCGTTATAACGGCGATGAGAACTCATCGATACTCGGCCTTTCCAAGGGGATCTCGGGAGTGGAAGCGCGGTACCAACAAGCGGTTGAACCATCGGGAGTGGCGAGACTATCATGTTCACATTATTGATCAACCTTGATGAAGTGATTCCTTATCGAGTAAGTTCTCAATGAGCTTGTTACCTACGCCGTCACTATCCTCCATCTATCATGGTCGACCCTCTAGTTTCTTCCTTCTTTCGTGGAATTTATTAGTCAATCTTGGAGAGGCAATAGGGCTCCTACCGAGCAAGAAGAAGACAATCTTCTTAGACACGGTGTGCCCGATTTCATCTCTGGTTCTCGCATAAAGGTACCAACCAACTAACCTCTTTCCGACTTTGTGATTCCACTTTGCTCCCCGGAGCGAGTTATGTAACGATCTCCTACCCTTGCAGGCCCGAACGGATGCAGAAATGAGCGATGAATTGAAACAGGTGGGCCGTGGCTTCTCCCGTAGGGTGAAGTCATTCACCGTTTATGATGTGAATGGCTATCGCTTTCGCACGAGAAGCTACGAGGAGAGTCGACCCAACCTAAAAACCATGTCTTTGCGGAGTTCGTGCGCCCGCACGCGGATGGGAAGGACTACTACGGCATAGTCGAAGAGATATCTGAGCTCAACTTTAAGGGTGCGGGACTTTTAGCGCGGTGGTATTCAAATGCCATTGGTTCGATCCACGATATCACGAGGAAAGACCTTACGATAGGTCAAGTCGAGATTGACGGGACTCGACTATAAAGGAGCGATGTCTACATTGTGGCCAACCGAGACGCCACGCAAGTTTATTACCTCCCATGGGCGTGCGCAAAAAGACGAGAAGCTTGCGGGGTGGAGCCTTGTGCATTTGGTGTCGCCACGGTGGCAAAGCGCCTCCCCAAGCGACAACGATTACAACTTTGACCCAAGCACCGATGAGTTCTATCAACACGAGGGGCTAGAAGGTACCTATGGAGATCGACATTGGTTCGCTCATGGGCATGGAAGTAGACAACGAAATCGATGAGGACGAGGGTGAGGAGGTGCAGGATGCCGGGGACTTAAGAATGCTTGAGCGATGGCGGATCTGTGTGATGGAGTTGTCCAGGAGGAGGTACATGATGATGACTATGGAGCGATGAGGATGATGATGATGTGGTGATGACTTAAGGGAGCTCGACAATATTGATAGTGATGACGGCGATAGTGATAGAGATGGCGACTCACGCCCGAGATATTGCCGTTCGCGGAGATAATTACGAGGCCATGTAATACTATATTGTTATTATTATGTTCCTTTACAAGTACTTGTCATTTATTTATGCTAACAGATTTTGTTCTTTGTCATTGCGGGCACTTTCGACAAAATGTTGCGGTAGACGGCGGCGGCCGCCGCATCGAAAGCAAAGACGCTTCGGCGTGCAGAGTCCCCCGAGGAGACCGCCCGGCACGCAGCGAGGAGGAGGAGGAGGTGTTGGTGGCGGGTCGCGTCCGAGGGGGTCCCCGGCCCCAATGAGACGTCGCCAGCGATCAGAGGCTCTTGTTCTCGTCCTCGCAGGGGGACGACGTCGCGTGATTGACGAAGCGCGGGGCGGCGGCGGCGGCGACGACGATGATGACGACGGCGGCGGCGACGACGCGCCTACACACTAAGCGAGGCAACCCGACCGACTTCGTCGGCGTGGCCAAAGGTGTACTGCCTCGCGGCCCACGCAGCTTCCTAGGGTGCGGCCGCAATTCCACCGGCGCCCGGTGATCACACCGTGGGCGACGTAAGTAACCATTATTGATTTCACTACTTGTTCATATGACATGTCAAAAATCGAGGCGAAGACTAACAATTGTTCTTAATGACTCGTGCGGTTCACGGAAGATTGTGAGTGGAGCGGGTCAAGCACGCCATATCAATGGCATCCGGGCCCTCCGATTAAGGAGTACTACCACAGCCTTGTCAGCGTCAACGGCGAGATGAAGGTGCCCACCAAGTGGTCCCACTTCTACCTCGTCGAGGAGGGTGGCGAGACCATCATGGCAAAGATAAAGAGGGAGTTTTGGGTGAGTCTTTCATCGCACCGCATTGCTAAATAATGCGCATTAATTCGCGGACTTCTTGCAAAAGGAAATGCTACATGATGTGTATGCGTATGCGGGACTTCTTCACGTGCGAGGAGGGTAAAGCGGCCCGGCGGCGCGAAAAGTGAGGAGGCGATCTGCAAAGATCGTCTCAAGGACTGTACCATGAGCGCGCGCATCTGGGCCATCCGCGACTTCCACGCCAGCGTGCTTGGAGAGAACATCAAGAAGCCCCAAATCCGCCAGAGAATGAACTCGAGGGAGGCCGACCTCACCCAAAGCTTAACACGACGGGGGTAATTAAGTATGACAACATTCGTTGATTCCTTGGTGAAACATTACACTAATCTTCTCGCATGTCAAATACTTGATGTCATGCGTGTGTGTCCGTCGTGGTGCGACAACCACGAGGAATCTTTGGGCGGAGATTGTGCGCATGTGGCGCACGGATGATGCGTATATGTGGCGCGCCGACCGTCAGGCCGCCGCCCGCAGCAGATGCGAGGGGTGTCACACCACCAAGGGAATCAGCCCCTCCCCGATTCGCGACAAGATGGGTATCGTCCGTTCATGTCTTAATCCTTGCGCTCAATTGTCAATACTTGTAACCATGTTTGTGTTTTCAATGCGAGCCTTGAGACGCACGGTGGGCGAGGAAATCAACGAGTACACGCGTACCTCCTCTCTCACAAGGGCAAGGCGACGGATCCGAACAACGTCTACAACCCGGAGGATGGGCCCAATGCGTACACCAACCCCACCGCCTACGAGAAGGCCACCAAGTACACCGTCGCGGCTCGCCAGCGCTACGGGGAGACGTTCGACCCCACCGCCGAGCCCTCGGACACGAGACCTCCTGCAGAGGTTGGGACGAGGAAGCAAGACGGCCGCTACTACATGGCCACGGCGCCCTCGACCCGTCCCGAGTTCCTCTGCCGACCCGAGTTCGATCCACGCCCACGAGCTCCAGCGACATCCCCGTAGCGCCCCGGCGGCAGTCAGCGTCACAGGTAAGTGCCGTTTCGTTCGTCGTTCACTCGTTTCGCACCTATACATACAATCAACACTGCGGATGTAATATTGCAGGCCCAGATGGAGGCCAAGATGGAGGAGAGGATCGTCACATTGCCGCCAGATGATGGCGCAGCAGATGGCTTACCAAAGCCAAAGCTCTGCGGCGGCACTACAACACTCGGATGCGAACATGGCGGCTTCTTCCGGTCCATGCAGACGCGCGGGCGTCTACACCGCCTCCTCTTCCAATGTTCGCTCCACCGCCTCCTCCTCCAAAGTTTTTTTCCATGCTCGCTCTCCCCTGTCGCTCCCGGAGGGACCCGGTGAGTATATTGACTCTTGCTTTAACTTGTGCGTCCATCTTTGCGAGATACTAATGACATCACTTGGCGTTTAACTTGTGTGCGATCGGCATGGTTCGAACCCGTCTCACGGAGGTCCCGGCCATCGATGATGTCGTATCCACCACACTGCACCCTATCCACCGTATCCACCTCGCGTGGCCCTCCTCCGACGTACTCGTGGCGTGGCCGGTGCGCGGAGGGTGGCGATCTGTGCAGCGCATCGATTTGGTCCAAGGGGTTTCCGTGGGCAAACCACGGGGCTCTGGGGCGGAGCGGACGACGAGACCGGGGGGCGCGACGACAGCTAGGTATTTGTCGATTCTGTTATCATGTATCCACCGTATCGTCGAAGTTGTTGTCATGTATTTCTTTTCTTCGTTATGGACCTAGACTTGTTATGTTGAACTTCGTGTGATGGACGTCGACTTGTGGTGTTCGGACGTGTTGGACTTCATGTGATGGTTGTAATGCACTTGTGTGGTTGTTATTGTGACATATATGTGAGATATATGTGATGTTGTGCGTTATTGTGATATATGTGGTGATGTTGGCGACAAATGTGATGAAATTGTGATATAAATGGTGCTACCGGTGCTTACGGTGAAATTGGATTATAATTTGTGATTTTGTGGGGTTTTGATGTGAGAAAAGCAGAAAACAAAACAAAAAAAAAAAATTTCCAGCTTTGCAAGTTGGGCAAAAAAAAACCAGATGAGTCTTTGCATTCGCAATGGGAGGCGATCGGCAAAGAGGTCAAACCTTTGCCGATCGCAACTCAAAAGCGATCGGCAAAGAACATATTCAAAAAAAATATTTTCTTTCTTTTGCCGATTGCTGAAGTGGCGGCGGTCGGCTAAACAATTTTTGAAAAAAATTCTTTGCCGATCGCCGAGAACCAATGATCGGCAAAAAGCCCGCCGTTAGTGGCGACGGCCGCACGTGGCTATGCCGACCGCTTTGGCGTGGCGATTGGCAAAGGCTTTGCCGATTGTGTGCTGACGTGGCAATCGGCAAATCCGCCTTTGCCGACCCAGGCTTTGCCGACTTCTCTTTGCCGACTGCCACGTGGCTTTGCGGTCGGCAAAGCCTTTGCCGACTGGGTTTATGCCTTTGCCGACCGGGGCAAGCAGTCGGCAAAGAGGCATTTTCCTGTAGTGACGGCCCCACCGAACCTATCGTGAGTTGTCGCTCGCTTTCCTCCGGTTTGCCCCTCCACTGCTAGCTAGATCATCCACTATTTAAGCACTGACCTGCCAACGCCATGCGTCTCATCTCATCGCACAAGTCCAGAACTTGTACGGTTGATCTCTCCATTGCCAATCCACCTCGATCGTAGTCGTAAAAATGAACAGGTCCCTGATTTTGTGAGTAGCCTTCTCGGCGTGCCTAGCGCTCGCCGCCGCGGGCTGGTCTCCCGGCACCGCCACGTTCTACGGCGGACCCGACGGCTCCGGCACCATGGGTAAGCAAAGCTCTTAATAATTGTACATTGCATCCATTGATTCTAGCGCAAGAGCTATGCACATTTTGCTAACTGCGAGCATGCACGTACCAATGCAGGTGACGCGTGCGGGTACGACAACCTGTACAACGCCGGGTACGGCGTCAACAATGCGGCGCTGAGCTCAACGCTGTTCAACGACGGCGCGTCGTGCGGGCAGTGCTACCTCATCACCTGCGACACGTCACGTCCGGGCGGCCAGTCCTGCAAGCCGGGCTACTCCATCACGGTGTCCACCACCAACCTGTGCCCGGCCAACTACGCGCTCCACAACGGCGGGTGGTGCGGCCCGGGCCGGCCCCACTTCGACATGTCGCAGCCGGCCTGGGAGAACATCGGCATCTACGGCGCCGGCATCATCCCAGTCCTGTACCAGCAGGTCAAGTGCTCGCGCACCGGCGGCGTGCGCTTCAGCATCGCCGGCTCCCAGTATTTCCTGCTCGTCAACATCCAGAACCTCGCGGGCAGTGGCTCCGTGGGCGCCGCCTGGGTGAAAGGCGACAACACGGGGTGGATCCAGATGTCCAGGAACTGGGGCGCCAACTGGCAGGCGCTCGCTGGGCTCGTCGGCCAGGGGCTCAGCTTCGCCGTGACCAGCACAGGTGGGCAGTACATCCAGCTCCTCAACGTCGTGCCAGGATGGTGGCAGTTCGGACAGACCTACACCACAACCCAGAATTTCTACTACTAAAACCTGCAAGCAGCAGAGTGCTTGGATCTTCCTGTCGCCGTTTCTTGTGGTTCGGTCAAATGGCTAGCTAGGGTGGGAGGTCCTCAAGGCCTGCTCTTAATTTCATTCAACGTTGTAGATATGTTGTCAAAACAAAAACGTTGTAGATATATTTCTTGAATTTTAGATCTCTCTTTCAACGTTGTAGATATATACTTACTACACACTATACTTGTACCCTCTCCGTACCAAAATAAGTGACGTTTTTTTTACTTTTAGATTTTTTGTTGGAACGTTATTAAAAACATTATATAAATATTATTTGTTTTATTATAACTTATTTTATTGTTAGAGATATTTTAATAGTGACTTATTTATTTTATTATTTGCACACAAAAAAATGAATAAGACCAACGGTCAAATAAGGAGTCTAAAAGTAAAAAGGGTAACTTATTTTGAGACGGAGGTACTATATGATATCCGAGAACGTGCACTCCACATGTTTCGTTCAGAAATCCTACTGGCTAATAACTACGGTTAGTTTCGGCACTTGCCTTCTGCTGCTGCTGAGCCACCATTTCATGGATGGTGTCGACGGCGCCGTTCTGCTGTCAGGCATTCACATCTGCGCAGTTAAAGGAACCATATGGCACAAGAAAGTCCAAGGGACGTGATAGATGCACATGACAGGCAGTTATGGAACCCGACCACTGGCATCGTCAACCACCACAGACGACACGTACCCGCGCCGCTGACCCCTGAAAGAAAGCGTTACATTACATCAACTTGGAGCCAATGCAAGTCCACGCCGGCTGCATTGGAGCCATAGAATGTGCCAAGTGGAAAGCCGAAGCACATACTACATGATCTTATCAAGTTAATCTGTAACATGTTAACTAAAGCTCATGGTTGGTTCAGCATTCACCTATAGCTAAATTATAACAAACCATAATGAGATAACTCCAACACCTTTGTTCTAAAAATCCTTCTTTCTTTTTTCATCCAAAATAATCATGCGCTCGACGACGCATCTCTCTTCACTCAATCTGAGCGAGGTCCATTGAAATTGTCGTCAAATGGTGGATTACACAAGAAAAAAACAAGGGTTACAAGAGCCTCAGTAGCATCTCAGGTCTTGAGTTCGACTCCTCATGGGAGCGAATTTTTCTAGATTTAACGACGTTTGTGCTTTCGGTGATAGGCAACGTTTCCGTCGACAGTAAGGCGTCTGTGGTGACTTCATCAATCTCGAGTATTTATTGGCCCAGTCTTTAAAGATGCTCAAAGGGATCGGGTGAGTGTGCGTACGTTGTGAGTGTCTGAGTTTTACTATGTAATCGCAAAAAAATAGTCACCCGAGTACCCAGTTATGTTGTTAAACTATTCCCAAAAAAAATATGTGGTTAAACGTGATTAAACTTGCGGAGAACATTCATTACTTAACATGGTTTAGTTGGACGTGGAAAATTAGAGCAATTTGTCATTGTGATTAAGGAAATATTACAATTACTTACCGGAGATGCCAACAAAGAGTTAATGTTGTTTTTGAATAATTCACACAATCACACAGTACGTGTGTACAAAAGAAATATAACAATCGATTTAGTTATAATAATAACCATTTAATCTACTATTCGTGCTCCACAAATATCCAACTTTTTCAAATAAATAAATAAATAAATAAAATAAAAGTAACAACTAAATTTGCACTGGAATTATTACAATTAAACTAATATACCCCTCAATTGACGGTCAAAATTACCCTCTATTTGTAAAAAATGTTAAATGTCCATAAATTAGATATATTTGTAAATTACTCATTTTTATAATAACTCATATATAAAAATAACCTAATGCAAACATATGTAATATGTCATCATCGATATCATTGTACATGCATGCATAAAAGATAAACATATATTTCTATATTTCAATAGCCAAGTGTTACTTCAACAACACATATATTTAGCAATTCATTTAAATCAATATACATGACAATAATTAATTTGTCCAAGTTGTTACATTATAGATATTTATACAGTTTGACCAATATATTTATAACATAATTTTGAGCACTCTATTTTTTTTAAAAAAAATTACCACACATATAACTAGAAGGATACTCCGCGCACATTATTGCTATGGAACTTTCTTAAAAGTAGCAAGCTATGTAATAAGAAACTATATAAGTAAAAACTATTTAGTAAGTGGACCATAATAAAGCCCTTTTCTATTTGAACGATTCATAATCATTTACGAGTACCACAGTAAAGCCCTTTTCTATTTGAAAATGTAAGCGCATGCCCAAAATTCAAATAGTAGTGGTTTAACCTCTAGTACTTTTTCGATCGATAGAACATGAAACATCAAATTTTGTGCAAACTAAAAAGGCTGGATAGTTGCAACGAAGTAACCAAATAAGTGAGTAATCACGTTAAAACTGTAAGGACAAACTCAATATAGAATGAAATTGAAGAAAATGGATGATTATGTAACTATGAAGTAAAAGCTTAGCAGCATCCTGGAAAAAAGGGAGAAATTCCTAGACTACAATTCTGAGAATATAATTTGTAGAGGGAATTGATTCTCTAGCAACGGAGGAAGAGGAAGAATGTGCAGCCTTACTCCTGAATTTGTTGATGGCGTCTGCTGCATACATGGTGCCGATTAGTTTGCGTTCGCCTCTACACCATAGTAGACAACCAGGCACGGGAGCCAGAGGCGAGGAGATATAGAACATATGCTGCAGTCGAGACTATGCGTCAAGCTGCAGTGGCTTCGGTCGAGGCAAAATATATATGGCATTGGGGAGAGGAAGTGGTGTTGTGGAATTTCAGTCTATTGTGTGGAGTCGCATGCTGTACATGATGAATAAATACCATTACTATTACGTGACCCCTTGGCTCCTCGATGGTTTTGCATCAATTATTTTGAGGTCTCTTCATTTTTTGATGATATTTGGTGGAACTGTAAATTGAGCTTAGTGACTTGGTGGGGCCTTGAGATGATGTGGCATAACGGAATTGCAGAAAAATATTGTAGCAGGGTTTTGGTTTATAAGAGTTATAGATAGATTTTTTGATAGAAGAAAACAAACATCTCGAGCAGTATAGGAGTGAAAGGAACAATGACCTCAGCAAGGGTACGAGTACGACCCAATAAACATGAATTGGATTACTAAAAACTTTTCAAACTAGAGCTTAACTAGATTCTATAATAAATAAAAAATAACTATCTTGCAAAATGTGCACCTGTATGTCTATCTAGTGTCTCTTTTTACATACCCAGCCCAGGGGCGGAGCCAGAAAGTTGTTTTTTTAAATGTTAGGGGAGCCAACAGTGTTAAATTTTTAAAATTTATTTGAATTTTAAAATTTTTAGTGGAAAATTCACATTCATAGGTGGGGCCTGGGCCCCTGCCCCCCCCCCCTGTCTCTGTCCCTGACCCAACCACCAGGAGTTCTGCACCCTATGGCCAATCCTATATCAAGTAGTGTAAGCCACTCTAAAAAAATGTAAAGACTCACAAGGGGAACCATAAATGTGGTAAGTTAAGATCAAGCAAGGGAGGACAAACTCCTGAGACATGGTAGTGTCAGTTGCCAAGCCCACATTGAAGCTTGATAAAGAATATGGCCCCGGTCACCAAGCCTTCTCTAGTCACGGTGTTGGGCTTGCCACCAAGATAAGTGCCACAAGCCACATAGACTCACTACTTGCTGCCACAACTCTGTCGTCACCAAGATATCCTCCACTATGTAGATTCTCAGCCAAGGAACCGGTCTCTACGTCCCAAAACTGCAAGTCGTCACTGCACCACATCGAGCTCAAAGAGTTGTCTACATTGTCGGTGAACCACCAAGGCTCCGACACACCAAGATTAAGAGGACACAAATAGGCACTCATGCACGAAGCTAAGGTCTAATCACTCATGCACGAAGATATAGGCACTTATAAGCACTCACATGATGGATAGAGTGGTACACATTTGCACTAGCTTTCTATAGTTTTAAGGGACTCCACCACCCCACATGATCAGTGGTTCTAGGGTATATATAGCTCCTGCATATAAATCTAGTTATGGCAAAGGGCTTACAAAAATAACACTCACCGGTGTGGTCTATTATGTGCAATTTGATTCGTTTAGCCATTGGAACTAGCCATTGGTCCATGTAGATTGTTCGGTGCTCATTTCTCCTTACAGTTGGACAATCTAGTCCGTTGACATCCTAACAGTATGGAATTCCCATCTTCAGTTGTTGATTGTCAAGTGCTTCTTCGATTATGTAGTTTATGTTCTTCGCACCTAGTCCATTTTGCATGGTGCCCATTTTGAGGTCAGCACAAGGCCTAAGCATTTTTGTGGGGCGAGATGGGCCAAAACAAGGCCAGTTTGTTTCTGGCCAAAAAAAAAAAAATATATATATATATATATATACCCATGACCATCCCACAGGTTTTCATCTGGTCATTATTTCTGGGTTGGGCTTGGGCTAGGTCTAGAGACAGGAGGCCATCTAATTTTAATATGCATATAATCAAAATAAATACATCGGGCTAGGTTTGAGCCAAGATTTTTTTTCGAGGCTCGTGTTGGGTCAAAATGCTTAAGTCTAGTCACTAGAACATTCGGCCGATTGTCGTCCGTGTTCAAATTCTGCAGCCTAGGATTATCTAGTGCTCATTGTTTTTGCTTTTTTGACTTGGTTTTTTCTTCAAATTTTGCACTGATTTTTTACTTGCATCCTTAGGACCTAAATAAACTTGTGAATAACATCTTAGCACATATGCTAGTTTTATTTATTGTGTTGTCATTTTAATTGCCAAAACCACAAAGAAACATTGGCATTGAGACTATGTTTTGTATAAGAAGGTTAGTATATGGCACCTATATATGTTTTGAGATCTAGCACATGTAGGCGCAAAGATTGATGTGGTAGTTAATCTAGCTACAGCAGCCAGGAGCTAGAACAACGAAATGCAAGCATCAGAACCAATCATTAGCTCGAGCACGTCAAAAG